TCGTTTTTGTTATTTCTGTGCTCTCTTTCATTCGAGGAAACCAGTCCATTCAAAGGATATTTAGTACAGGTTAAAACAATTACTCCCAGTATTAACAGGTCGAAAGGACAGATATCTAAGTTCTACCCTTCTATCTCTACGAAGAGAGTTGGACCCCATAGAATCAAGCGAGTTGTATCGCCTGTGAGTTACGAGCTTTGTGGAGTGACACCCTACTGCTTTTGGTGTGTTTCACGTATCAGCTGATACACACGCTAACCTCAATTATGGTAAAGCTTCCATGCCTGTAGTACCAAAATGAAGACGAGGGTGCCTCAGAAAGAAACTAACATCTTCTGCTGGCCCCTCTTTTAAGGGATTCGATGCTAGGGGGCGACTGTAACAACCCATAATCCCTACCGTGCTGGCATTGGGAGTATGAGGTATGAACTAGCCATGTGTGTATCTAGCAGATGTCAAGTAGTCTGTTTTATGTGATCCAAGAAGTGTTTGTTGTCTGATACACAAACTTAAATAAAATACATACAGTACTAGTTGAGTTTTTTTAAGATGGGGGTCGTGTTATTACCTTCAATTTGTTTAATTTATCCTTGTTTAAAAATTTCTGGTAAAAACTCTAAAATCCCTGAGAAAAAAATTAAGTTCATGCTAAAATATATTTTAATATTATTTACATTAGTTTCACTTTCATGTAAGTTTATTTCATATTTTCTAATTTGTGGGATACGCTAAATAAATAATGTTCACTTCGACTTAAGATGGTGTATAAGCCTCGCAGATCAATACCTTATGATATCTACCTTTTGTGGTGGGTTCGGCCAGTTTTTTCTTTCCATTTAATTTTGTTTAATGTTATTCAACAATGCTGTGGTAACCAAATCCCCAATCAAATAAACATTTCAGAGGATTACAACGCAATTATCTGTGTCGAGAGATAAAACATTGTTTTCAAGTGGTAAACTAATACAATTAGTTTACTTTTGTATTATGGGGGACTTGTTTATAGAATCTTATTACAACACCTCATTTGCCCCTGTGATATTCAAATATTCTTTTATTGCCTACTCGTTTTTAACACATAAGTAATTTTGAATGCTAATTAGTGGCTTATTGCTGTGCATTCATCTTCAGCGGTGTACCAGCATTCATAAATTACATGCACAGAATTTACGTTGTAATTTTACCATCATCTCTGTGATTTAATAAGTAATTTTGATTTATTTTCTATTACTCAGTCTACATGACGGCAAAAATTATCATCATTCATTCATTCATCAATTAAGATCATTAGAAACGTGCGGTGTGCAATCCTACTGTATAATATCGTAATCAATGTGTTTTTAAATTTTTCACCAGTTTTTTTAGTAATAAATGCGTCTCATCTGATATTTTAATTTAATAGACAACTTTTTATTTTGTATAATCACAGACACTTTTTTTACAGTCGAACTGATGACAAAAGGTGTTAATAAACATTTTTGTTCAAAATGATCTCAGCTTTAAAAGAGCCCTTTACGAGGATGGTTTTAGGGGAAAAGGCGGGGGCAAACGTTTTTGCATCTTTTTTGGGGTCTCAAAGTTAACATTCTCAGCAAAATTCAATTCAGCTTGTTTGTGTCGTTTTTAAAGATCAAATCTCTGACTATTGTATATGTTAAATAATGCCGGTGACCATATGTAATCCTGTCGAACTCCTTTTTCGACTGTGAAGATCTCGGAAAGTTCATTTTCTAATCGCACTGTTGCTTTTTGTTGGAGATATAAGTTTGAGATCAGTCTTCTATCCTTACCATCGAGTCCTGATGTTTTTAGGATATCGATTAGTTTCCCACGTGCGACTTTATCGAAAGCCTTCTCGAAATCAATGAAACATGCATACACATCGCAGTTGACATCCCTGACTCTCTATATAAAAACTTGCAAACTAAAAAGTGCTTCCCTCGTTCAGAGCCCTGCTCTGAATTCTAATTAAACTTCACTCAGGTGATTCTTCTAATTTGGTGTATATGTGCAAGTGAATGATAGTAAGGAGGAGTACTTTAAGTACATGTCTCATCAAAGTACTTAATCATGCTTCACTTTTCTAGGTGCTAAGTGGAATGAAAATTGATAGTAGCCACTCTTTTGGTAAATAACCAGTCTCGTAGATGTTGTTGAATACCTTCGTAAGAGCTGTGATTTGATGTGCCTCTAATAGCTTTAAAATTTCACCATGCACCTCATCAAGTCCTGGTGATTTCCCATCTTTACGTCCATGTTGCCATTCTTGCTTCTTTTCTCTTATTGATTTTAGATATTCATGCGAAATTGTGGTAATAGGTGTCTTCATTTCGTTCCATTGTTTTTCTATGCCTCTAGTTGTGTCTTCAGCTATTTTCGCAAAATTTTTATTAATATCTGTTTTAACTTTTTTTGGATGTCATTTTCTTTTAGTAGTCTTATGGGCCTCATTTTCTTATGAATTATTTTGAATCGTATGTTCATATTTGCAACCAATAGACTATGATCTGAGAAGACATCTGCGCCTGGATATGTTTTTGTCGAGCTGATAGAATGTCTAAACCTTGTTTATGTATAAAATCAATTTGGTTTCTTATGAATTTCCTGGGGTATCACAGACTGCTTCCATGTATAAAGCCTTCTTCGGTGTAATTTAAAAAGTGTATTCGTTACAACCATATCCGTCCCTTAGCAGAATTGGATCAGTCTTTCTCCTTTTTCGTTTCTTATGCCAATATGACCCCACAACATTCTCGACTGTTCTTCTTCTTTTTACGGTGCCTATCCGTTCCGATGTTGGCGTTTAACATGGCTATCCTAACTTTGCTTGCTGCTATTCTGAATAGTCCGGTTGTCGATGTATTAAACCACTTTCTCAGGTTTTGAAGCCAAGATATTCTTCTTCTCCCTGGTCCTCTCTTTCCAAATACCTTGCCCTGAAGAATGAGTTGCAACAAGCCGTATCTCTGTTCATTCCTCATAACATGGCCAAGATATTCTAGTTTGCGCTCTTTGATGGTGTTAATAATCTCGCATTCCTTGCCTGTTGTACGTAGGACCTCAACATTAGTCACACGATCCACCCATGAAATTATTAAAATACGTCTGTAACACCACATCTAGAATGCCTCGAGTTTTCTTAAAGAAGCTTCGGAAAGTGTCCAGGCCTCTACTCCGTATAATAACGTAGAAAATACATAGCATCTAATGAGAGAGATTTTGGTAACAGGTGGTAAATCGTGACTTCTGAAAAGAGAGAGGAGAGATTCTCGACTGTCATCATCATCTTTGGCTCGACAATCCTCTGTGGATCTTGGCCTGCTCTAAGATTCGTCGCCATTCTGTTCGGTTTTTGGCAACATGTTGCCATCTTCTGATTTTTAATATTCGTAAGTCGGTTTCAACTCCATCTAACCACCTAATTTGCGGTCGAACCTTTGCTTCTTTTTCCTACAGGTATTCCTGTAGTTAGCTTTTTAGCAATCGTATTTTCTGGCATTCGTATTATGTGTCCAGCCCATCTAATACGCTGTGTTTAAATGAACGTGATGACATCTGGCTCATCAAATAGCTGATACAATTCAAAATTATATCTTCTGCGCCACTGCCCTTGGTCGTTTACAGCTCCAAATATTTTGCGGAGTATTTTACGCTCAAATATTCCCAAAAGTCTTTCATCTTTCTGCGTTAGAGTCCATGTTTCTGCTCCATATGTGAGGACCGGCCTCAGCAATGTTTTGTATATAATAATTTTAGTTCTTCTTTGAATGTTTCTGAGTGGAAATGCTTTTGAAGTCCATAGTATGCCCTATTTGTAAGATTTATTCGTCTTTTGATTTTTTCGCTTGTTTTATTGGTAGCAGTCAATAGCGACCCAAGGTATGTGAAGTTGTCAACACGTCCAAAGGTATGACTTCCAAAGACTGTTTCTCGTTCCTCATTTGCTATCGGATCCTTTGTAACCAACACGTACTTGTCGATTCTCGACTGTACCTTTTCCTTTTTGGCATTGAGATCGCCCATGATAATAGTAAGTTCATGTTTTATGGTCAGTTTTAGAGAGTCTTCTGAGTCTGATAGAAATTTTCTATTTCTTCTTCAGCGGATTCTGATGTCGGTGCTTAGACCTGAATGATGTTTATATTAGAGGGAGTTAATTTTCACTAGCACAACTGTCTGATATGGGCGTAAATCCTATTACTGCTTTAACTATCTCCCTTTTTACTATTATCGCTACGCCATTTCTGTTTCTTGTTGTGTCGTCTCCGGAATAATAGATATGGTGATGTATGATGAACACCATCATCTATAATTCTTATTCCAGAATTTGGCCATCAAACTTCACTGCATTCTAAAATATCTATGTTCAGACGAGTCATTTCTTGAATACTATTTGCTGCTTTGTCTGCTTGGTACATGCTTCGAATATTCCACGTAACGATCCTTTTGACTTTTGTGACATTATTTTCGGACCGGGGATTCTTAGCACCCTCTCCTCACTTAAGGGCTACCCGAGACTGAGGGCCGTTTGTTTTGGATTTTCAGCCGTTGTGGTGCCTTATCATAACTCGAATAAATAGGCCGAATTTTAAATAGTTATTGAAAAGTCATAATATCCAAGTCCCAGTTTTATTTTCTGGGATAACTTACAGATACCTATCACCAGACGACTTTAAACAAACCAATGGTGGAAAAATAGATTGTAACAAAACACATTCCTCAGTCTTCAGATTGTGGGTGTGGCCATGAAAGACGAACCATACAGCACATTATTCCTGAATGTCCTCTCCGAACATATATAGGACCTTGAAGCAGCTTTCTTGAAGCAATGAAGCTTGAAGAATTGAATATTTTCTATGGGAACAAAAAGCCAAACATAATCAATATCCGTGGGGAAATAACTGGACAGAGCAAAAGTAAAAAACAGTTTTCTCTTACATTTGGTTTATGCTGATAATTATCTTTTTTAATTAATCATGATTTATATTCTTAATTTGCAGGTATGGTAGAGAAGATCTCGATGTCCTAGGCTTAACATTTCGCAAGGACCTTTACTTAGCCGCCGAACAAATCTACCCGCAAGACAGCCCGCAAAACAAACGACCTTTAACAAGACTGCAGGAACGGTTGATTAAGAAATTGGGATCAAATGCTTACCCCTTCTATTTCGAATTGCCTCCTCATTGTCCCGCGTCCGTGACGCTCCAACCGGCACCAGGAGATACCGGCAAACCATGCGGTATCGACTACGAACTCAAGGCGTTCGTCGGCGAAAGCCAGGACGACAAACCGCACAAGAGGAATTCCGTGAGGCTGGCCATTCGAAAAATTATGTATGCACCGAATAAACAAGGTAAGTAAAAGATATTAATATCTCTGTAAATTTACCGTAAAGTCCTACAATACGTTTCATGATATACGCATAATCACAGTTCTTACTGATTTTCCCAAAGGTTTTTAAAGCTAGCTAGATGTTCTAGACAAGAGATTTTTAAGAAATTCCGCGTGGGATATCGTTTGGTTCACTTTATTTATCGTTAATCAATGAAATGAATGATATATCACCTGTAGCGAGTTCTTTTTAGCATTATTTGATTTTTGGGAACATGTAGGGTAAAGGGAGGAGAGATGGACCACATTTCAGAAAACTGAAGCCTGTTTCTTCATTAAATAAACATCAGAATAGAAAAAATTGTATAACAACTATATTGGTTTTGGTATAGTAAAACAGAAATAATCTTAACCTAATATATATATATATATATATAATTAATATATATATATATATATATATATAATATATATATATATAATGCACTGGCACGTCATCGGTCCACCTCTCCTTAACTGTGCAGGTGAGATGGGCTACTAGAAGTAGGAGAGATGGACCAAGCTAAACCTTTTTCTTTTTAATAGCAAGACTCTCTCGCACTTGTTACAGAGATTAGCGAAGCCAGTACAAGTTTCATGTAACCAGCGCTTACAACAAATACATTGTAACCAGTTATCTTTTTTACATGTTTGACGATAGTCCTCGTTGCACCCAACACACTCATTTTCAATATTACTCATGTTATGGGGGCAAGAAAATCTCTTCTGCACTACAGCAAGCTATTACACTGATCGTTCACCTTTTTCCCCAGGGCTTACGCTAGGAACACATTTTGAACCTTTTTCTGCTAGAACTTGACCGGCTCTAGTATTTAGTTGTAATTATGTTTCGTCAGTATTGAATATGTGTCCAGGTTTATCATAAAAATTATATTCGTCATAATTCTCTCGAGATCAGAAAAGTAGTTATCGACTGTTTCTTTGGACATTCCTAAAGCTCGTGCAATTGAGGTGTTCTCAGCTTTCTAATTGAAATTTCAGGTCTTCGTTTCAAAAAGAGTTCTAACCATTTTTTACCAGCTTTACCTAAAAGTAGACAATAAGTAACTCTTGTATCAGATTTATGATTTTAAAAATTTACCTTCTACTTTAAAATTATTTGGGATTCCTAATAGCTGAGCTAAATTAAAGGCCATGATTCTTACTTCAGTTCTAGTTGATTCAAAGCCTGATTTTTGTAGTTTTTTATATGGCTAATGATTTTATCTTTAACAGCAGTTCCTGAAGGACAATCTGGAGCCAATCGGTTCATCTTATCCATATTGTTTGTTTTTATTCGACGTTTAAAAGTCGTTTTGGGTATTCCAAATGCCTTGGCGGCTTGATTAATACCCATATCAGCATTCTTTACAGCATCTATGGCATCACTTAGCTCTCTAGAGGTCCAGTTACCTCTCTTAGGTGTATTTTATTTGCGAATATATTTATTGGGCATAATCCTAAAACAAAACATACTGGTCCAACTCTCCTCCTCGTAAGTGGTCCATCTATCATCAAATAGAAGGACAGATGGACCAGCCCGTATTGTTTAAAATAAGCAGACTACAGCAGTAGTTCTTACTCTATAATACACATTTTAAATATAGTTCAATAATAAACTAAAAAATAATCGGTCAAACTCACCTGTTTTTACAAAAAATGAATTTAAAAAACTCATATAAAATTATCACATGTGGCAATTTCAATTATCGTAAATAACACTCCTACAAGCCTACGCACCGATGCTCCATGACTAGTGATCTGGACTCTACTACTATTATACAAAAAATGGCAAATCGCAGTACTTTCATGTAGTCACAAAGAAAATGAATAATGTCAAATATTAATGGTGCGTTCAAAAATTGAAGGAGACAAGATTGGGGAGCAAACATTTAATAAATTAAAAAAAAAACAAAAAATTTCTCTCTCGCGGGAAATCAAACCCCAATCTTCAGCATGACAGGCGTGCTTACTCACCCAAACACTATTCAGTACATTTGAATCATGGGAACTGTCATCAGCGAAATTGTTAAACGCACAAAATTTAAATAACCGTTAGTTTTTCTCAATTTTTTTTAATATTCTGTCCAATTTTCTTAAATATTTTTTCCGTAAGAACCTTCTACACAGTACTTGAAAACTTAAAAAAAAAGATGAATGAAATCGGTACAGCCGTTTTCAAGTTATGGCGTGACATAGGGAAATAGGGATTCATTTTTATAGATTATATAGATGTTCAACCGTCACATATTTCATATTTAAATAATAGGACTTACTTCATTTCACCATTATTTTTAACAAGACATATCCTAGTGTAATTTTTTTGCTATATCCTTTCAGACCAATTGTTACTAAATAATAACAATGACGTCAATAATTTTTTAGGTAAGCAAAAATATTTTTGATTGTTTTGAACGAAAATGTTAACAAAATATAAATGTTTACTTGTTCTGTTTTTGTGATTACCCACATTTCTTTAACCGCAAGGCTTGTACCATACGAAATGCCACAAGAACTAATATTCGCCAAATTGAGCACAGGATCTGCTTCCAGTAAATCTGACTCCAACGAGTTCCTTAATCGAGTCTAATCTAGATGGAATATTAAAGACAAAGATATCCGATATAATGAGCGTCGTCCTGTCAAATTGCTATATTTGGTGTTTACAGATCAAGAAGCAGTTACGGTACAAATCTTACAATAACTTAGTGAGTGTTTGTGTTTAAATATTAATTTGTCGTTTTTAAACTAACACGGTCTGGGCTGTTCGGTTACTATGCAGCCTTGATTTCCAAGCTGTGATTACAATCCGCAGCTGATTACAGAAAATCATATTAACCAAAAGCGTAAGAAAATGTAGTTCTAGTTGTGGTATTGGAACAAACAGGTCGGAATTTAAATGTGGAAAGTGGTTCTAACATGTGGCTATGATTATGAGTGAGTTTTGTTCACTATCATCCATAGAAAAGTATTTAAAGAAAGAGCAATTATGAATCAATTACATTCAGCATTGTGGAATCAGTATCAAAAAAGATAAAACAAAAATTTACAAAATGACTGCACCCCCCCCCGGTTTGGTGTGGTCCCCCCCCCCCCCCCCCCCCCAGGTGTCCACACCACAACTTGGGGGGACCCCCTCTGGAAAGCTTTCCAAAATGAACGAGAAATACTTGAAACATGGACTATAAAACTGAGTTGTTCCAAAATGACCGGCCAAACATACAGAGCAATGTAAATCCGAATGAAATTTTAAAATCTGAGGTTCTTCGTGTAATAAAATCAGCCAAAATCAATAAAGCAGCTTGACCAAACATCATCCCAGCTAAAGAGGACCACATCAGTGCGCTAGTTAAGTTTTTTAATGACATATATACTACTGGTGAACTGAGGAATGGTTTAAGTCTGTTTTTATAGACTTAATTCCAAAGAAGCAGTCGCAAAAAGATGCGACGAATTCATGTTAATTAGTCAAACATTGAAAAAAGGAGTTATTGCGAAAGAGACCTAGATGAAACCCAGTTTCGCTTTAGGAATGCGCTGGGTACCTGTGAGACACTTTGGCTTAAAGGTACTTTTCCAAAAATGCTGCGACCAACGCAAAGATATTTATGTGGCTTTCATCGATTACGAAAAGGCTACCGATAGGGTGCAGCATGGAATGCTTTTGTAGGTATTAAGAACCAAAGGCATTGATGGTAGAAACCTACGTATCATAGCAAACTTATTGGAAGCAGATAGTCATACGAATCGATGACAGAGTTAAGATATAATGAAAATTGATGGATTATGGATCTTGGATGGGTGAATAAAATGAGAAGAATGAAGAAAATGAGAGCCCGAAATACATGGATAGAAGATATTCAATGTGCAATTGGCATATGAGATATATCATTTGACATATCGGCAATTATGGTAGGCAGGATGCGAGACGTGCCTAGGATGTAAACTATCTGACTTTACATTAACTATAATTCTTCGTCATCATCGTAGGTACTTCGACTAGAAATCAAAGCATGTCACTCTTCGCTAGTAATAAAAATTCAGAAATAACGCTTAGGATAAAGCAAATTGAAAACTCTATAGAAATCCGCCAAAATTAACATTATCGAAGTCTGGAATGGTCATTACTCACGCGTTACATTTATTCGGATTTCTTCTGCGTATTTACTACCTCCGACAAATATAAGCAGCAATTTAAAAAAAGATAGTACCGTCCGTTAAAGTTATAAAGATAGCGACTGATTGTCTTACGTAAACGTAAAGTTTCTTAATTCACTGAAGAGTTATTTGCACTAACGATAATGAAGAGTAGACATATTTAAAAACCTCAAAATCATAGGAAATACGTATGCTCGAAAAAAAAATGAATCCTAAAAACATTACCTATTGTAATTAATAATGAATTCATTAATAACGTTTACCAATTCATTAATAATGTTTACACAAATCACCAAAACACCAAAACATTTTCTACAGGAAATTACCGAGGAAAAATTCAACGGAAATGGAAATGAAAATGGAAATTCAAAGGAAATTACAGCTGAAACAAATAGAGATATCGAAGATATAAACGTGAACTGGGAGAAAATAAAAAAAAATAGTGAAGAAGCAGTAACAGCAGCTCTAGGAAAACGCAAAGTCATACTGAACAAAATAAGCAACAATAATACACTATGGTGTATTGTTGCTGTCAGAAAAGAAGTAAACAAGAAATGTAAAGAGAAACGAGAGGTCTACACGAAGTACAAAACATTAAATACTCCAGAATCCCGAGATATTAGAAGAATACGAAATGAAACAAAGCAGTTGGTAAGAAAAACAAAAAATGAATACTGGGAACAGTTCCAAACTTCCTTCCGAAAACTTATCAGGGCCATCAATAATGCGAAGTGAAATAGAATATGCAGTTAGAACCACAAAGATGCATAAAGCAACAGGTCCAGATGAAATTAATATAGAAGCAATAAAACTACTAGACGAGGAGAATATCGAAATATTGGTAAGGCTGTTCAATAGAATTTATGATACTGGTTACATTCCGCGAGAATGGCTGCAGTCATCCTTTGTGATGATCCTAAAAACGGCTAATGCCACAAAATGCAATGAACACCGCTTAATCAGTTTAATGAATCACTTGTTGAAACTCTTCCTTAGGATATTACACTCAAGAATGTACAAGATACTAGAAGAACTTAGCGGGTCAACACAATTCGGTTTTAAGGGAGGACTAGGAACAAGAGAGGCAATTTTATGTTTGAACACCTTAATACAAAACTGCTTAGATCAACGAAAAGATGTCTACCTCACCTTCATCGACTACGAGAAGGCATTTGACAATGTTAAACATGATATCATGATGGAACTACTACATAGGGCCAACATTGACCAGAAGGAGATCAGAATTATTCAGAATCTATACTGGAACCAAATGGCAAAGGTGAGGATTGATCAAGACCAATATACGGATGAATTTGAAATCCGGAAAGGTGTCCACCAAGGCTGCATACTCTCTCCGATGCTTTTTAATTTATATGTTGAAAATATATTTGCGGAAGCATTAGAAGATACGGAATTAGGCATTAAGGTGAACGGCATACCAATTAGCAACCTACGCTATGCGGACGACACAGTGATTATAACTGATAATTTGGAAGATCAGCAGTTATTACTTGATAGGGTGAATAGCATAGGTAAAAAATATGGCCTCAAAATCAACATTTTGAAAACGAAATATATGGTCATTAGCAGAAACCCTCCAGAAAACCCGATAATATGCATAGGTGACAATCGTATAAATCGCGTGAAAACTTTTAAATACCTTGGCACCACAATCAATGACCAATCGGATCCACAACACGAGATAAAAACCCGAATACAAATGGCAAGACAAGCTTTTGTGAAATTCAGACCGCTCCTATGTAATCAACACCTAAACTTCGAAATACGCTACAGAATGGTCAAGTGCTACATATGGTCCATCTTGCTTTATGGTATGGAAACGTGGACTTTGAAAAAAACATCTATCAACAAACTTGAAGCATTTGAAATGTGGTTATTGAGAAGAATGATGCGCATACCTTGGGTGGATAGAGTTCGAAACGATGACATCCTTAATAGAGCCGGCGTGGAAAGACAACTCTTTGAATTAATTAAAAAACGCAAGATTGGTTACCTTTGGCACATATTGAGAGGAGCAAAATATGAAATACCACAATTAATCCTACAAGGGAAGATCGAACGTAGGAGAGGAGCCGGCCGCAAACAATTATCCTGGTTAAGGAATATTAAAGAATGGACAGGAATACACAATACAGGTGAGCTGTGTCACGCCGTCAAGAACAGAATTCTAGTAATGAGATAGTCGCCTACGCACTTTGGTGTATGGCATGTTAAGAAGAGGGAACAGTTTACAAAAAGGATGGAAAGTGACTTCTACGATACACAAAAACAAATGTGGAGATTCATAAGAAACCAACGGAAAGAAATGAATAATATTGAAGAAGAAATAGGCTTTAAAGCCTACATACAAGAAAGAAGAAGAAGTATTAAAAACACTGTTGGAAGAAAAATAATAAACATTCAGAACTATTTTACTAATGCAAAAACTAGTTAGACTCTGTCTTGCTATAAACGCATCGAAGAGAATTAAATGTTTTCAGCAATGTCTGATTTCATCGCTTCGTTCGAATATTGACGTCGCCAAATGAGTGCGTCAGATTCACTAGATTTTGAATTCAGTCTACCTGTATGCACCAATTGTACAATCTCAGAAAATAAGCCTGATACAAACGACGCATAAACTTGGCATACGTGACATATACACTGAATTTAAATGGGAATACTGAATTCAAATGGAAGAACGCTTTTTTATGGTTGACAAAAATATAAAGAAAAAAAAGAAGATGTTGAATGTGTTGCATATGTGAGTCCAATACAATTTATGTAGGTAAAGAGAAATAAAATAAAAAGATTACTCTTTTAATTGTATTTCTCTTTACCTAAAATAGAAAAAAAAGTTTTTAAAAAGCGTAGAAAAATATTTCAAACAAATTAAAACACTTGAGGTAATTTAAAATCTTTTGAAAAAGACTGTAAGACTTATACACACTTCTAAATAGGTCTAACTGGTAAGCAGGTTTTGTATGTTTTCAATAAAATTGATAGTGTGAAAATAATTTATTAATTAAGTTAAGTATACTTTCGACATAATAAATGTCATCATCAGAGTTATCCAAAAATAACGTTAAGTTAAGTACATTTTTTATAAAATACAATGACAGAAAAAACTTACGCCAATTAGGCAATAAATACTTCATAGAAGGAAAATTGTGGAATTTTCCATAGAAGGAGAATTACAAAATCAACAAATCGTCAAAAAGTGGTATTTATAAATTATCCTGTGGTGAATGCCCGGTGACCTATGTGGGTAGAACAATGCGACCTTTGGATATGCGCATTAAAGAACATCTGTCTAAGATTGATAAATCTAGTTTTGGGAATCATATACATGCTTCAAAGCATGGCTTTAGTCCTCATAGAGATAGCAAGATCCTACACAGTATACCCAATAATAATTATATAAAAATGAATGTACTAGAAGATCTTGAAATCAGTAGAGAAATGAAAAGGAATCCTCAGAACTGTGTCAACACTCAAATTAACTTAAATTGTAAGTTTGATCCAATCTTTAAGAAGTTTCTTTAATAATACATTTAGTATACAATTAACCATCGATTGATCAAGCTTTGACCTTTATTTTTAAAAAAAAAATTTAAAAAATTTCTTGAATTTTCTTTCATTGATTTCATCCATCGAGTTAGGATGTATGGAGAAGCTATGAGCATATTAACGTATGTATTAAAAACGGCGTAGGTAGGAGTGGCTAACTATAATACCAATATGGCGGTGACATCAGGGCCAGACTCAATAATATAATAAAACTACTATACAAATATGACTAGTTATTCAGAAGATTTAATCATAATCTAAAAAAGTGCAACACATTTTTAGTAAACTATGATTTATTTATCCTGTGGTAAACACTAAAAACACGATATATTATATATAAAGATAAATTAATACAGTCAAATATTATTAATTTATTCTCTGAAGTACGGGCCATTACTTTGTTTACATATTTGTATACTAACCTGTGGAACGATATTCCTGAAGATTTTTTATTAACATTACTTCTGCTACTGCAACTACGTTGAGAACAAGAAACCATTATTATGCACTATCACAATATATTACAGTTTCTATAAAATTATTATAAAACTGAAAATATTCGAAAAACAACAAATGTAAACAAACATATACGATCTGTCAAACGTTTCAAAACAATAATACCAATATGGCCGAAGTTAGGTCGTTTTTAGTCACGTGATGCCCTCTCCATAGAAACTCGATGATTTCATCTAAGTAGAAAATGTTTGATATTTTTCTTCTTCTTTATTTATTTTATTAATAATATTGATAATCAATAATAGCTATTGAAGTCTTAACTTAGCAAATCATATTTCTCCTTGGTTCGTTTTCATCTACTTTCTTCTACTTGGTCAAACTTAAAAAGTTTTGTTTTTTGAAATTTTTGATAAATGTTTATTTTAAATTTTCACGTTGACTTATCAATTTAAAATATTTAAATTTAAATCTATAGTAACTAAAAGTAATAATCAATAACCTTCAGACGTCAGTTTAGACATTTTCAATTAATAATTTTAAATACAGAGGTCGCTCTCGGATTTATTTCCGTATATTCGAGCTTCCTCCTTCATCTTACTTCAAAAATGTATGTCAAAAACAGCTGTTGTCGTCGCTGTATGTAGTAACCATGTTTTCTATTTTATATATTTGATGTGAATTATACATATGTATAAGGGTTAGACCCAAGATCTGTGGCCTAGAGAGCCCGATCTTTGTTTTTTAATATGTTGTTTGTCCACAATTTTCCTTCTATGAAGTATTTATTGCCTAATTGACGTAAGTTTTTTCTGTCATTGTATTTTATAAAAAATTTACTTAACTTAACGTTATTTTAGGATAGCTCTGATGATGACATTTATTATGTTGAAAGTATACTTAATTAATAAATTATTTTAAACACTATCAATTTTATTGAAAACATACAAAACCTGCTTACCAGTTAGACCAATTTAAAATATGTTTTATGTTTGTTTGAAGTGGCCCGAATGCTCTTATAAAAATGTGTACTGTTAACTTTGTTGGGAGTCGATACGTTGGAAGAACCTTTGTTTTGTACGTTTTTGCATAATGGTTTGGTTTGCCACTATTTTGTTTTCAAAGAAGCGCACCCCTTCGTTTTCTACAAGAAATATTTTTCTTTTTCAGGAGAACAACCGTCCGTCGAAGTGAGCAAGGAATTTATGATGAGTCCTAACAAATTATACTTAGAAGCGTCTCTGGATAAAAAATTGTACCACCATGGCGAAAATATAGCTGTTAACGTACACATAGCGAATAATTCAAATCGCACAGTCAAAAAGATCAAAGTTTCAGTTAGACAGTTCGCTGATATATGTCTATTTTCAACAGCTCAATACAAATGCACAGTTGCTGAAACTGAAAGTGAAGAAGGGTGTCCGATAGGTAAGTTGAAGTGTTTGCATTACAGTTTTTCCGTTCATTCTTCAATTAAGTTATTTTATGTCGCGATATCACAATACCAATTTTGAATGCACAATGCTATATTCCAAATATCTATTATTAAATATAATAATCCAAAACGCAATTATGTCTGTCCTAATTGCTCTATTGATGAATGTTTACACTAGATGTATGGGCAAAACATTATTAAATGGTCTATAATTTTGTTGCAGAGTGCAATTCAAAAACAATTATTACGTATTGTCATTAAAATTAAATGAACGAGGAAAATTAAAATAAAACCGTCTAGGTTCTTTTTTGGAATATTTAAGACGCCCGAGGCATTGCGACTCGAGGTGTGCTTTTTAGTTCTTTTAGACGAACTAGTTCAAGAGAACTATTTCACAAAAAGAACCAGTTCAGTAAACTAGTTCACGAAAGAACTATTTGTAGGACCGAAATCAAAATCCAACCCTAACTGGTTGCCAGTTGTCTCGTCACAAGCTCGGCACCGGCCGCCCGTTTTCTGCTGTTTTCAGTCAGTGTTTCACTACCATACGGCGTACAAGTAATTCGGATTCGGAACCATTTCTTGCGATTGTATGTTTAGGTTTAAATGTTTTAATTTATTATATGATTAGTTAGTTTTTCTTTATAATAATTTATTTTCTTAATCAATCCCAAAAGATGAGTAACAGACGAAATAGAAGTTTTTTATGGAATCATTTCGAGAAAAACGATAAAACTCAAAAATCTGCAAAATGTAATTACTGTTCATGCGATATTAGTATTGCAAGTGGTTCACTGGACAATTTATCAAGACATTCAAGAATGAAACTTTTTTAAACTACTCAGTCCATCCTATTCACAAAATAATAAATATATGATCTCATTCATTATTTTCTTCTTTAGAAGTTGAGACACAATTTATAATGCAAATCGTTCACAGTGAACTAGTTCTATAAAAATTAATGAACTAGTTCAATTAGTTCAGTTGAAAGAATCGTTCATTTGAACTATTTCGATGATGAACTACACATCCCTAATTGCGACATCGCAACCTTCGGTGACCTCACATTCTTTTTGAATTAATATGATCTCATTTTTCTTTCTTCTTTTATGGGGGGGGGGGGTCCATATGTTCGAAATATACCTCGGTTTTAGAAGGTGGACAGAACCGCCTTCCAACCTCGGTTATGCAGGACTCCTCCAGCGTAGCCACGATGATATCAAAGGCCGCGCGCTAAGGTTGTTCGGACACCATCGCCATCAATGCCAGAGACCTACCTGCTAAAAAACACCCCTCTCAGCGGTGAATTACCGGCCGGATCGCCCTGATTGGGACGCAACATCGGTACGGCATTCACTCGATCTCTCACCTTCTCGCTACGACTGAATTCTTCTCTCCCTCTATTTCTCCCTGTTCATGTTCAATCTCACCCCTTTTCATTCTGTCTTATCTATTCTCACAACACCGTCATATGCCAAGCTCCACAGCTTGGGTCATGGGACCGATCCCTGCGGCACTTCAGCCGTCACGTCAACCACTACTCCTTTTTCTACCACAATTTTCCTTTCTGATATATAGGCAGAGATTAAATTCATCAAGTACCTCGGACACCTCTCTCGTAGAGCCTTCATTACTTCTTTCCATTTTAATGTGTTGAAAGCATTCCGGACGTCAAACAACAGTAGGATTGCCCACCTCAGGTTAACCCCCACCCCGCGTAACTCCTGGAAGACTTTCATCATCGCATCCACCGTGCACCTGTTCTTTCTAAAACCGTAATGACTGGGTGAAAGTCCGCCCGACCCTTCAATCACTGTCTATTTGTCCTCTTAGGAGCCTCTCGTATAATTTACCTATGCACGACAGAAGACAAACAGGTCGATACTTGTCTTCCCCCTTTGGGAGTAGCACGAGCCTCGAGATCTTCTAATTTGCCGGAAATCCCGGAGCCTTTCGTGTCTTTAGGGCACTCAACGCTTCGTTGAGTTCGTTTACGGTCTCTGAACTCGCTCAGCTTCGGCGTCCCACTGCACTCCATACCAATGGCCGGGTGGATACAACTCTTGGGTAACCTCAAGCTTCCTGTCCAGTGGCATCTCATACAAAGGCTACAGCTCTATAAACTGGTTTATTACAATTTTGTACCCTTGACCCCAAACGTCCTCATCCAACTTACCACACAGTTGTCTCCATTGTAACCCATGTCCATTCTGCTAGCTTCGGTTACTTCTCCTCTGCCTCTTGCCATTATACCATTTGACGAAACAGCAGTAGCAGCCATCAGCAAACAACTAGATATCGCTATAAAATTTAAATAAAATGCACTAAACTAGTTAGAAAACTCATAAATCGATTCGCATGGGACAGGTGATTAACATTCACACCACACGTACTAAACACATAAACAATCCAAAACATATAATCTAAACTCGTAAGATTAATTGGAAGAAGAAGCAAACTGTTATTTCAAACCAAAATTAGACATACACAGCGTAGTCGTACCTACATACCTACGGTATGTTGCTAGAGCTGCAAAACAAACAGACAGAAGATCAAGATGGTCCAGGACAGATGTTCGATAGCAGCCAAAGTATGAAACTTTATAGCGGGCTCAATTTAAAAGGAGACACCACGCGACATGAAGGCAGTTCAACAGAAAACAAGGGAAGAAAAGTATCTTGAGCTATCCCTGTTGCTTTCCGCACATGTGATGGCCGCTATAACACATGAGGACATCAGAAAGGGAGTCTGTGTTTATACGTTCAGTCTAAAACACGGCTGGTTCCTTCCTTTACTCGAATATGTATATTACGACAAATAAAAGAAGTAAGCAAGTAAACTATATTTGAAATAAAAGAAGAAAATATCATATATGTACATTTAATTCTAACTTATCAATTTTTACACAATGATAGTATGCGACGTGACCCGTACTACAACAAATATTGATTTAAAGTTGAGATGATTACAAAGGTGATTACACAAAGCGATAATTAACCAGTGGAATATTCTATAGTCGATACGATAATACAAAAATTTAAGATTTGCGATGACATATAACAATAGTTGATATAAGGCACAAAGGAATAATGACCGCTACAGGGTGTGAATTAATTATCCAAATATCAAGTACCCACAACTAAGCGAATAAATAGTTTTTGGTTAACAAACACATGAATGACAATTGGATTAAAAATTAAAGAATGAATTTAACGACGTATAGCCACAATATAAGCAATATGTAGTTAATATTATAAACGTGATGCAAAGGTGAAAAATATCTGAATGCATATAATAATAAATAAATGATCAATCACCATCATAATCATTAACATCCTAGCAGATTTGTTGTGGTTCATTATTGAGCTTCAGCAGCAAATGATCAATAAAAGCTCAATTAATAGTGAAATGAATAAACCTTGTTTATAAAGGCAAACAATAAATAATATTAAGCAATATTAAGTTGTAAACGAAGGGAAAATGTTCTTAAATGGTTCAAATGTTCAAAAAGCAGCACACTATGTAAAATAGCCAAGCATCAAACAATTGTAAACTTGCAACGAATATGTGTGTTTGTGTGTGGAGATTTGGCTTGGAAACCAGTCCTTTAGCCACAGGATTGTGACATATTTGTTTTTAAATAATATAACCAACTTAAAAGAGAAAGTAAACAAGTGATGTTTATGGGAGTCTGAATTTTAAAATCTGATAGTTTTGAATACAGCTGATCTGTTACATACATACTTATGTTGGTTGGTGTCACATTGTGATATATTATCGCATGAGCACACACCAGAAGGGATACCATTTAGCTCAGCCAATTGAGCTGGGAATGCGCCGTGTTTAATTTTCAGACGTGTAATTTTCGCTGTTAGCTTCTTTGACATTGCGTATTTAAAAATATGGGCAATATCTTATGGTAAGGTAGGATGGATAGTATAATACTGATTATTTGAGTTCGTTGCTATGTTTTTTCATTTTATTAAAATTCTGTTATTATAATGTGTACCTTTTTAACATGCGCCTTTTGGACAGTAATATACTCGACAAATGGCACAATGCTGAGGTAACTCTATTGTACAAAAAAGGAGATCCCCATGAATTAGAAAACTACAGACCTATAAGTCTTCTTAGTCACCTGTACAAACTCCTTACAAGAATAGTAACGAATCATCTTGAGAAAAACTTGATTTCTACCAGCTAATAGAGCAAGCGGGATTTCGTACCAGATTTGGAACAAATGATCACCTACAGTGATCAATGCTACATGAACTTCAGTTAGTGTGCCAGTGTGGGCCTTAAAATAAACATCTCCAAAACAAAATCCATGACGAACCTAATACCTAGCGGAAATATCAAAGAAGTAGAGGAAGACCTCATACTTGTTGGACTGACGATCTCAAGAAATTTGATGAAACGTGCTCAAGATAGAGCACAATGGACGAAAATGAGGGAGGCCTATGTCCAGCAGAGAACGCAAAGGGCTGGGTGATGATGATGATTATAATGTTGCGTTAAGATATCCAATGTGAATATAGGACATATATCTTTAGCAAGCTGGCCAACTAGTTCATTTCCTTGATGCCAGTGTGACTTTGTATAATTGTATAATACTATTACTATATCAACAATAATATAATGTATGTATCTTTGTACTTTACGTCGTGGGAAGGTTTTTGGAATTGGGGGTGCCAATATCGCTCAATTCTTAAAGCGTGTGGTGATTTCTTTATATTCTTCCAATTTCGTCATCCACAATGTATAAGATTGAGTTTATTGCGGAATGCAATTCTTATATCGTCATTTGATATTTAATTTAATGGTTTAAAAGTTGCAAAATTGTAACAATCCCAAAGAGGAAGAGGAGAGCAGATAAATAAATGTCCCATTACCCGAATGTATGTTAAATCCACACTATTCTGAAATAAAAATTATGAATATAACGTAGAGGGTACAGGGTCAGCTCCTGCGTAGCTGACTCGTATTCGAGGGCGGCGGATAAGACATCAACCAGCGTCTTGTGACGAGCTAATCGTAATGTTCTCTGCATTTCATTATCACGAAGACCATCAATAAACGTTTGAACGGCCAACTTTTCCATCATGTTTTCGGGATCTGTTGGATAAGCATATCGTACTAATCTGGCAATATCTACCTCATATTCTTGAAGAGCCTCATCTTTCTTTTGTCTTCAATTTTTAAGCTGCGACTGATATACATGCTCCAAATGTTCATGGCCATATCGCATATTTAACCTCTTCTTAAGTTGTTCAAAATCACCCGTCTCCTCTACGGCTATGGTCTGAAGCACATCTAAAGTATCTCCTTGAAGAGCGATAGTCAGGTTTACAGCCTTTTCTTTTTCAGACCATCCATTCACTCTTGCAGCTGATTCGAACTGTTTCATGTAGTTGTTCCATGACGATTTTCCGTCGAAAGTTGGGACGGAATTCACTTCTAACACCAATTATTGTTCTTAATTTAATTTACTAAAGGTTCAATATTTATAACACTTACAAACTTAAGTTCGATTGCATTCTCGACGTAGCCAGAACGGCGAATTGGTCTAAAAACTGATCTTTTTACATCGGTTCGTCTCCAGAAAGTTCGATCGTTGTTTTTATAGCGAAGGGGAACCTATCGTCTGTTGGGTAGGTAATACCTAGAAAAATCGTGAATGAACAGAATATTAGTAATAGATATGTTTACGGTTTTTTAATATGACTCATATATTTTTTGACGTAACAATATTCTTAACTTGTAAATGTTTATAATTGGCAGTGGGTTTGACCAATTTGACAGATGATTTATGGAACAGCTCCATAGCATTATATTTTTCCACTTTACAAATACAAAACTCTACAGGTATTTCAATCATCTGATAACTAAAGTATTGCTACATCCTAAAATTAGCAGCATCAAAATTTCCCAATTTCATGTAACTATACATTGATTAAAAAAAAAGTAAAAGTTTATTAATTTTTTGTACAATACTGAAAATTTTAAATTTCTTTTTTCAATTTCAGGACCTGGCTTCACACTTAGCAAAGTTTTTACGCTTACTCCCTTACTGGCCAATAACAAAGATAAATGGGGTTTAGCCCTCGACGGTCAATTAAAACACGAAGACACAAATCTTGCGTCTAGTACACTTGTAGCTGATATGTCACAACGAGAAAATTTGGGAATCATCGTCCAATACAAAGTTAAGGTTTGTAATAACTTTCTTACTATAACTGCTTAAAATTTTTCATTTCCAATTTAAAATGATCACAAAGCTTTTTCGTCATGAAATTTGTTAGCCTCGTGGTGGTTACACGAATACTGCTGTGGCTGTGAACAACCAAAATAGATTCCTAAGTCTCTCTTAAAAATATTAATCGACATATTAGGTTAAGTACGTAACGATACACGTTAATTAAAACTAAATATGAAAAGAAAGACTTGATATAATACTTAATAAGAAATATTAAAAAAATATATGTGTTAAAGGGACGGAACAGTCAGTTTCAAGAAATTTCACGTTAACGTTCGAATATTGAACCTGTCAATAGGAAATGGTCAAACCAATTGAACAAAACTTACACCAAGAAGTGCTCCTTTAAAACTAGACCTCTCCGAGAAGCCAAGGTTGTAAAATCGAACCCTCGTTTTATTTATTACCGAAATTCATATAATGGTCTGTTTGATTCTACAGTAATCGCAAACCACCGCCTAATATCAAGGCACCCTAATTTGCAAGACAATGGGTTTGAACTACCAGACTATCTTTATGAAAGCATGAAATAGTAATAGATTAATGTAGTAGTATTGGGAACTAAGTATTCTAGGGTTTGATTCCTATTTCGACGAAAAAGTTTGATGACGTTGTGCACCTGTTCATATTTTGCACAAATAATTCGAAAGAGTATTTCAAAGCACTACCACATGTTGAATGAGAACAAGTTGGAATATACGCAATTATTGTATGATTATTATACGGACTAAGCACAATTGCATTATCCTTTTATTTTTGTTCCTTTTCTTAAATTAAATTCACTATGCATTAAAACAAGAGACATACCATATATAACAAAATACAGTGATGAGTGCTTTACCACCCGGCTTTTTAACGTAAGAGATAGAAAACACAGTTACCTTGTGAAATAAAAAGAGATGAAACTCGTAAAGGTGGGAAATAATCGATAGAAACCTATAATTTACATTACATTACCACCGTCGATAGTCTCACACCTTTAGACGTTATTATAATATTGGAAGTGTTTAAAGTCGCTTTAAAACCCGGCAAAATAGCGGAAAGGATAGAAGATGGATTTTGTGAGAAAGAATGAGATAAAGCTATTATAGTTCTTAGACTGTGGCTATTTGACTTCAGTCATAATTATACGGATGACCGCGAAAATATTTTATTTTAATAATTTCTGATGTAAGAATAAATGATTGAATAAATTAAGAATTAAAGTAAAAAAACATTAATTAGTAGCGATTTTAAATTATAAATCTTATTTATAATTTAAAATCTCTATAAAGTTTATTTAATAATAAAAATAACTCAACTGAAATATTTGACTAAACTAAAGGTAGGTATGTTCTGTCCGAAAACAGATATTGTATGTGGAGTTGGTGTAATACTTAGACACGTGGTCTATTAACTAGAAGATTGGGGTTCAATTCACACCAAGGATAAAATTTTTGTTTTACTCAATCAAAAAATAATAAAAAATATGATACATATTAGGTAACAAGTTTTCGAAAAACTCATTATTTACAATTTATTCTTATTCCAATGTTATAAAACGGAAATACAAAATAATTAAAATTCAAAAAGATATTTATGTTTAACTTTAAACACTGCTAATACTAGTAACGACTGACATAAATGTTTAGTGATTCAAATCAAAACGATCTCTGCATAATTTCAAATTATTAAACAAAAAAAAACCACATGTGGGTTTTGAACTCTAATCGTTTGCGTCGCAGTGTCGAATTCTTACCACTAATCCACGAAGGATTGATGTTTATTTCCGTGACAAGAGTGTATGAAACTCCTCAAATCATAGTAGACATTATTCTTGGTTAATAATTTATATAATACTTTAGTATTAAATAATCACTATTAATTAATTTATTTTATTCACATTTTTGCTTTATTGTAGTCAATCATTTTTTACTTTATGCGAAATTAAAAAATGTCACTGAAATATGTCACACATTACGACGTCACACATAATAATTATGACCGAGGTGATTTAGCTCGAAGCTAACGTCTAAAGGTGTGAGACTATCGATAGCGTTAATGCAATGTAATGTAAATTATAGGTTTCTATCGATTATTTCCCACCTCTACGAGTTTCATCTCTTTTTATTTCGCAAGGTAACTGTGTTTTCTATCTCTTACGTTAAAAAGCCAGGTGGTAAAGCACTCACTACTGTATATCATTAATATTAGTGTTATAACTTTGAAAATGCACTCCTGAAAAATTAAACAAAAGTGACATTCCTCCTTTTTCTCCTGTACCCTTTTTCTTTAATCTTCTTATCATTAAGCCATAAGTTATCGTAAGCCATCATCGTAAAACCATTAAACGCATTGTAGTATTTTTCTTTTTCCTATTTCCATGTTGTTGCTGTTTTAATTCCTGTTTTATGGTAAAATTTATCTTACAGAATTGTATACCCGGCTATTTTTCTTGTTTAATAATGCAACCTCGATTAAATCTGTTAACGCTATAGCACAGCAAATTAGCATGTCTGAATTCAGCGTGCTATGCTTCCAGAATCGCATGCCAGAAATACCGGCAATAAAATTTTAGTTTCACATTCGTATTCAACTTCAATATTTTACTGTTCGTTAAAGTTTATGTGATGTTTGCACGACGCGTTCCCAATAGAATACCTGGACGGTCCGCGTTTCAAATTATTCCCAAGTTTCACATTTGCATAGAGACGGAAATACTAATGAAGTCTCTCTAATATTTTCTGCTGAAAAGTATATATATGTTAAACAATATGTTCTATATATAAACAGACTTTTTTAATGTCGAAAAACAGAAAACTTTTAATTACACAACTTGTATTTAAGCAGCTATCGGTTTTTGATGTTTTTTTTGCACAATGATAATATGATTACTCAAGGATATGATACTCAAGGATATAGAAACGAGACAGAAGATATCACAAGAACTTAACCACGAATGTCGAAAACTTAAAAACAGACAAAAGGAAAATGATGTACCAGAAGAATTCGACGACTTAAACCAAATATGGAAAGAACTTAAGACTGTATTTCTAAAAGCTGAAGACCACCTTAAATACACGGATCAAAGAGGCAAGAAACCATGGATAACTAATGAAATATTAGAAACTGTGCTTTTTGTTATTTTTTTTTTTAAATCTACGTAAAATTCTGGATCGATTTTTATTGGGATAGCATTCTAGAAAAAATAGCCGTTTTTGAGATATTTAAAGTTTTTGAAAAATTTTTCATATTACACATGCAACTTCAAAAATTAATATTGTGGTTAATATTTATGCTGAAAAAAAAAATTCTTTTTCAGCGTGTATGCTAATCTAATTTTTTTGGTGCTTGCATTCAAGAGCGTCGTGCGGCGTGCCTTCGGCTCTCTCCTGCATGCGGTTTTTGTTTTTTTTGGTGGTTAGTACCCTTTTGTGTTAATTTTTCTATCTACGTCTTAATCTATGGACAGGTATCATTACTATCCGACTCGTCTGAATCTTCATCTGTACGAATAATTAAAGGTCTTCCTTCATCAATAACTTGTTCTATTTCATATGACTCTAAAATTTTTTTTTCAGTATGCTAAATACATTTCCGCCATTGTTCCTCATTGACTTGGTTTAGTGCATCTTGCCAGAGTTGTAAAACGCTGGTTCGTCGTTGGTCTTAGTGAGAGCGCCCACCAAAGTGGCGTGGCATGTAGCAAGTAGCACGCGTCTAGCATGTTACTTAAAATGTAACAAATGAAAACGAATGATTTAGCGCACACCAAAATGACAGTGACGTCATACTATCTAATAATTCGTTTGCATTGGTTATATTTTATGTAACATGCTATACGCGTGCTACTTGCTACGTGCCACGCCACTTTGGTGGGCGCTCTCCCTTACATGCATGTTTATTATAGTAGTTTTTAGTGATGCCCCACACCAATTCAATTGGATTGTACTGGCAGTGATATGGTGGTAGTCTTAGGACCTCATGACCATATTTTAGTGCCATTTGGTCAACGACAAATTTTTTCTCAGTAATGTGTTCTTTGCACTTATTTAATAATTCAGCTTTTAAAACTAGAGCACTTTCTTAAGTCTTCTTTTTTCCAGCTGCTTATGGGAAACTTTTCCTCATCTCTGGTGTGATACGAAGCATTGTCTAAGACTATTAATGACGGATTTTCCAGATTTTTCAATAATTTTTCGTCAAACCAATGTTCAAAAATATCGGCGTCCATATTTCCTTTTTTGTCGAAGAGAATATAAGACTAGCATTGGGTTTAAAACCTTCCGTATTTCCTGCATGCAATATAACATATATTTTGCCATTACTCGCACTAGTACTCGAATAGCATTTGATAGAATCATCTTGCCAGGATGATTTGGTATTATTTCCTTTCGCAAAATCCATGTTTCGTCAAGAAACACAAATTGTCTGACAAATTCGGAATTCTTGTTTTTTAAATAGTTTCTTATAACTTTCCACCTTTTTCCAACAACATTGGACAGCTTGCACTTTACGATTATTAGTTTTTTTGTATCTAAAACCCATAGCTTTTAATACTTTTGATAAACTAACTGGTCAAACCCATATCACAAAGTTCTCTATCCTTTATTTTTTGAATAAGTGTCTTTCTTGTAACATGTTCTTTTGCTTTGTACATGTCATAAATGATATTTCTGATTGAGATTTTAATACCTTGTGGCAAGTCGAGGGTTTTCGGATGCAAACGAATCCTTTTATTTTCCTTAATTCCTCCTCACTCATTTTGCGAACTCTTTGCAAGGTCCGTTCTGAAATTCCACAAGCTGCACTTGTCCTTTTTTGAACTGCCAGTACTGATGTAATTGGTCCCATGTTGATTTTTTCTAAAGTAAAATAATTTTCCACTTTCAACACAATTCGACGCTCACTCGGAGATAAAAACTTATATTTAGGTGTCCTATCGTTTTCTTTTACGTTATCCATTGTCACTATTGAAAACCGGCGATCGTTGAATACTAGCGAGATTTTTCGGAGCTCTGATATATACACGAGGGGCGGGCCTCGTAGCAGGGCGCGTCGGTCATTGGCCGATGAATCCGGTCAATGGAGAGCCCCGACTCCGCAGACTGTTTATTATTTTTGCAAATATAACAACTAAAATTATCGAGTTATGCGACCGCAAGGAATGGATGCACTCCTCGAGACAATTTTATTTGAAATAAAATTAAAAGTTTTTTCAATAACAAAAAGAGAAATCATACGATTTCTACCTGGCGAAATCGAATTCAAATATGAGCCACCGTGCTTCCTAAAACTTGCAAAGCAAACAGCTTGATGAATAAGTCGGCAAGGGAATCAAAAATTGCACTCCAAATGCCGTTCATCATGGCCAATATATTTTTTCAATAAATTATCATCACAAAGCATTCCATTTGCGTTTTTTCACGATTTATAAAAAAATGTTTTGGTAGCGCTGATGTATCCTCAAGTACTACAGCCGACCAGTAGGAGGTTCGGTACCACAAAGCAGGTAGAAAAGGGAAAGCATAACAGAGTGGCTGTAACTAGAGTCATAAATTATTTTTCGGGCGTTAATCCGAAATACGACAGGGTAAAACGACTTCACTTTAGTAAGTAGTAGTAGTAGTAGATTTGGGTAAATCAGGAAATGAGTTAAATAAATAAAAAAAATGTAGATACGAAAAGTTTATGTTTCTGCATTTATATAACAATTTTCGGAATATTATAAAACTAAAATGACATAATAAACTAAACTCCCAAATATCTCAGGAATTTATAAATAGTAACTGTATAAATTTTGTTTTGTGCACTTATGTATAATTAATTTGATAAAATTTTTTAGGTAAAATTGTGCCTTGGTGCATTGGGAGGAGACCTTGTAGCTGAATTACCTTTTATTTTGATGCATCCTAAACCAGAAGAGGAAGTTCTACCGCCAGCCACACCTTCTAGGCGTGTCAGTGAAGATGTCAGAAATGACGTGCCGGTGGATGCTAATTTAATTCAGCTGGACGCAGAAGAAAATCATGACGATGACATTATTTTTGAGGATTTTGCAAGATTACGATTAAAAGGAGGAGAAACTGATGCATGAAAGCGGGTACTGACAAAAACCCGTCCATTTGTACCCCTACGTACCGAGGTGTATTTCACCTGCGAATAGGTATTACGAATCTACACATATGTTTCGAAAGTTATTTTTCGAAAAATGCCAATGGAAGAATACGTTTTTTGGGGAATAATTTTGAGCGATATTGGTAGATTCTAGAAAATGGTACCTACATAACCAGTGTGTGTGCCCTAGTCAGCGGCTGTGCATTGCGACACAACCAGATTGCACTTCTTGTATGAATTAACTTGTTCCCTTCTTTAATTTTTATCTATGTCCTAATATATCAGTAATTATTTATTAAATTTTAACAATAAATTTTAACATTTCTTCAATGGTTTGGTTGTTTCATTTCACCCGATTACGAAACTGACTATACATAAACTTATACTCGGTTCACAATTTGCCGATAGCTCACTACAAGTTTAATCCTAATTAGAGAACTGAAATACAGAGAGGATAGGTAATACGATATAATAGTAAAAACCAACCTGAAACTGACGGTTTAAGATGTTTTCGACTAACCCACCTTGTATCTGCAGGAATACAATACAGCGGTCAACCTTATAATCCGTTTACGACGGTATTTTGGGTACAAATGACCGACCAGTGTCGTAGAGTATATGATTGAAACATTTATTTGAACTAAATAAATATATTTTTTAAATTGTATTTTTGTTTTACTAAAACTTCTTTATTTTATTCAAAAATAAAAGGTTTCTTGCCATTTGTAACAGATACATTTATTTAATTAAGGGGAAAGGCGCCAAATGACGCCTGGCAAAATTTTCAATCTGTTTTAAAAGGTATCCATTATTTTCGAATCCGTAGAAAAGTAATAAATATTTTTGAAAAATTTAAACGCAGAATGAAAGATTACATACATTATTACTGAGGGCAGAAAGTCCCTGAAAACTTCTACAATGTTTATTTTAATATGCTATGTAACAGGGGTGAAGAAAAAAGAGAAAATATGATATAATTTTGAATTGAAAATATTGCATGCAAAAGAAACTTTTTATTTATTCTAATAAATATTTCATTCTGCCTTTAAATTTTTCAAAAATGCTTTTTAGTTTTCTTTCCCCTTTAATACCTTACGATTACAACTACTATTACTTACCTTATATAATTACGATTAGAAAATTATTCAAATTCAAAATAAATAGGATCAACTTCGGAATCCGAGTCGTCTTGAGGGTTAATAATTAGCGGTTGTGTCTCTACAATCGCATCAATTATGTTATCAAGATCCCACATTTTTTGTTATTCTTCTATTACATGTCTTACTGCATAGTTGTATAATTTTTTTTAGGTTTGGTATTTCTTTTTTGAAAAAAAATCCATGAATTTTCCTTCGAATGCCATTTTTGGCAAATTCATCAATTTCAATAGGCTTTTTCCCTTTCTTTAAGTATTCGTTTGTGTTTGGGTTAGCTATACCGTGTTTTTTCTTTCTGATAGGAACCTATATATAGTTGACTCCCCTACGCCAGTCATGTTGGCACAACTTTCGACTATGTTGCGAACAGTGTTTGTGGGATTCTGAGAAACCAGAGCATCGTGAACATTCAGGACAATAGTCTTCTCTCTTATTAGACATACTTACTGACTGTACGCAACAGAACCGGTGTAAAACTTGATGATGTGATGATGAAGCCATCACAAACAATCCAACAAAACGAGCACGAGAGAAAGGTACGTATATGTTCGTAGGTATATGGAATAAAAAATCACTCACACACTGCATATAATTCGCAAAAGAAATATTCGAGACGCTAATTACTGCCGTAGACGCGGAAACACCGACGAGCCGTAAATTATATGCGATCAAAAACGTACTAAACAAAAAAATTGTTTTCGTTCGTAATAACTTCACCCTTTCAAGTTAAGTTTCGAATATAAACTGAACAAACGAGGCACGTGGCCAAAGCCGGCATCTATACCCATTATATTATTAAAAATCTGGGGATTCCATCCTAATTATCTTGCACCGAATAGTACCTTCGGACATAAATTCCAGGTTTTCTAGTAAGTGATTAAACGCGAAGATTAGTATTGAAATATCCAAAGAGATAGGTATTCTTATTTACAAAATTGTTAATGGTTAAATTCTTATTTTTATTAATATAATAATAACCAACATGAGCCGTGAAAGTTTTAATTGTTTTTTGCTAAATATATTAGTATTAAAACATTATTAATTTTAATTATATTATTTATTATAATTAAATTTTAATGAATTAACACCTCAGGAACGCCTATGATGATACAAATTTAACGACCGTTTTAGGACTTTAAGGCACATTTCGTGTTATCAACAATTTGTGAACGCGTAATAATGAACTATTGAAGCATAAGAATCCGTTTGTTTGCCAGCATTAAAATACAAAATGGCAATTAAAAGTACAGGCTTTTATACAGAAAAGATGCTCCTACTTCCTGCTCCTCTTTGTTTTGAGGAAGAGAATCGTATAAACCATTGGATCATAACATGCCAAAACAAACGTTTTCCAGTAAGAGTGGAAGATATACAAGACTCGGTTAAAGGTTTTCTTGACGCAAATCCACGTGCCAATCCTTTTACTGACAAACGGCCCGGAAGAGGTTGGTATAGATCCTTTTTAAAGCGACACCCAGATTTAAGTGAGATCTCCAGTGTTCAAAAATACTTGCAGCGTAAAGGTTACATTAATATTCTTCAAGACCCTTCACATGTTTTAAATGGCGAATGAACCTGTCCTCTTGTGTCCCAAAAATAAACGATTTTTTGCTGTAAAGAAAAGCAAAAATGTATATTAAATAGAGAGCATCACTCCAAAGTTAATTATTTGACGGTTATGTTTATCTTTGCAACATTTGGAGAAATAACAGAACCAATGATTATTTACCCCTATAAACGAATTCCTAGCAATCTTCTAAATTCCGGTACACGAGAATGTTGCATAGGATGTAGCGATACGGGATGGATGAAGAAGGAAAACTTTTATGAATACATAGGAAACGTCTTGAAACAGTACCGGTTACAAGAAACACTAAATTTCCAGTCATTTTGCTCGTTGATGGACATAAAACTTGCTTAACCATTCAAACCACTGAATTACGTTTAAAGTTAAAAAGTATTTTAGTGGCATTATATCCCATTGCGACCAGATTTATATAACCTGCAGATTTTGCTGCATTTAAACCTTCGTCAGGTTAGGTTAGGGCAAAAAGCATACAGAAAGGTTGCCTTTCGTGATTACTTCTTCAGATCCTCAAAATGCAGAGAGGCGCAAAACTTAAGAAAAGCAGAAAAAGAAAAACGTAAATTAGAACGAAAAAAAAAAGCCAATTGACACAAAATCAAACAATAAAGGTAAAAAAAAACCAGCAAACCAAGATAAAAGTAATAAAAAAATTGCCACAAGAGTCAATCCCGGAAGCAAAAAATGTCAAACTATTGTTATCAAATGTGGGCAGATTAACGTTTTTCTTCTACAGAATCAGGAAATTGGCCCGTGACAATTATTGTTTTTCTTTTAGGTTATTCACTTCTAGTATATGTACTTAACCCCACTTTTCAAAGTTGTGCTTTTAATTGTATGATTAATAAGTGTATCTGTAATATCACCTGTATTTACTGCAACATTTTCTTTATTCATAACATTTTTTGATGTCTGCAATAATATGAATTCGTCAAATTTGAAGAATACATCCCAAAGCAAATGTACAAATTTGGAAAACAGCAAAGAGAAACTGGTGCTGGTGATTCGGCTAAAGAAAGTTATTTTTTGAAACTGAAGGATATCCAGAAAATGAAAAAATACAAATTCTCTCAGATATAACGGTGAAACAATCAGAAAACTCCAACCTACCTGTAAATAACCTTTTGTATACAGGTTATTCTTGTTCTTATAATATATCTAAATCAAAAGTTGGAATAAAATGTCTATTTTGTGTTAGAGGCTACTATATTGGTAATCGTGCTAAGAAACAACAAGAAACTGAAACTTAAATAGTTTTGTATGCCTTACCTGCACAAACAAAAAAGAATATTAGGAATTTTATGAATGGCCAATAACTGTAATTCTATATGCCAATAACTAGTTCTGTAAGATTTCAAATTCATGTTAATTTTTGATATGTTATTATTTCTGAATAAAATAACCGGAGTTTTTATAAAATTTGATGTTTCATTGCTATTAAAAAACCCTTACAAAATGTTTCACTTTAAAAAATAGCAATTTACAATTTCAATTCAATTGGCAATTCCAATCACTGTACCCGTTACCTTTTTTGTCTACCTTTGCTTTTCTTTTGTATTAGCTTTGCCGCGAGTTCCATTTTCGATATACTTCTTTTCCCATTCTTTTGATGTGTCCTAAATATCTTTCTCTGTCTTTCATTTTAGTCGTTAATTTTTGCTGTTATTTCGTTTACTATTATCTGTAGGTATTATTACCAGTTCTTGAAAAATCAACACTCGTTTAAAAATATCTCGATGACCAGAAAAAAGTATATCTGTATTTCATTGACCACCAGAAAACTTTTAATAGAGTCCAGCATGAAAAATTGTATGAACAACAAAAAATGAGGCTAGACAGAAAAAATCTTCGTATAATTCAAAACCTTTATAGGAACCAAGAAGCAACCGTAAAATATTTCAACCACACTACTAAAAGCGTGACGAGGTGTCCGACAAGGCTGTATCATGTCTCCTGACTTGTACACTGCATGCATATTCAAACAAGCACTAGACGGAGCCGAAATTGGTATAAAAATAAACAGTAAATATATTAAAAATATTAGGTATGCAGACGATACCCCAGAATAAATAACAATTAGAATGACCACGCTCAGATGCCGCATTTGAAGTGTGTCAGCATGCGATCGCCATATTTTAAACGGAAACATAGGCTCGGATTGAGAAATTTGTGACAAGCTATGACAAAACTGTAATTTAAATTTTAAGAGATTAATAATTTAGTAAATTTGAAATAATTTAATCTATTCTTCAACTAAAAGTACGAATAAAATAGTGCATATTATGTCTATGGTTGCCATAAATAAATTAAACCGGGTTAATGTTTCTATGCACAAAAGAAAAAATTTCACTGAACAGCACTGGTTCCGTTTAAAACATGGCTGATTCCTTCTACGCGACCGAGATGCGTCTACTCATCTTGACAAGCAGAGTGGCCATTCTTATTGTTTATTATTCTGGGACGATACCGTTCTGATAGTAGAAAAATTGAATACTTACAAAATATACTAGACAGATGTAATAATGCAAGTGAAGTAATGGAACTGATAATAAATCTTGAAAAAACTAAAGTAATAGCATTGTATCGTAATAGTGATTAGCAAAACTGATGAAAATTGTTGCATTGACCCACGTAACAATCAATTTAAACAAGTTTACAAATTTAGATACGTAGGAGTAGGATGTAATTTATAAATAGGATCCAGATGTAGAACTAAAAACGCGAATAAAACGGGCTAGAAATATGTACAATAAATTTAAGCAAATTATCTATAACCGAAAAGGAAGGAAGCTTAGACATCCGAATTAGAGTTTAGAATTAGAATTAAATGCTACGTTTGGTCAGTCCTTCTGTATGGAGTTAAAGCTTGAAACCTGGACATTAAAATTAAATACCATGAGACGGCTAGAAGCCTTTGAAATGTGGCTTTATCACAGAATGTTCAGAATGTCATGGACACAACACATTACGAATCGAACAGTATTAAACGCCATAAAAAGAGAGACCTCGTACCTAGGCCACATAATGAGAAATAACAAATATATCCTGCCACGAATATTAATTGAATAGAGGATGGAAGATCGAATAGGAGTAGGCAGAAGAACCATGTCATGGCTTCGCAATATCAGAATTTGGACGTTCAACAATTACTAAAAGTTGCGCAGAATAGAGCACATTTTAATGTAGTGATCGCAAACCTACATAATGGAGTGCACCAGCCTTCAGTAATGGAGTGCATCAGAAGAATAAGTCAAGATACGGTTAAAAGGAAGTTGAGAGAATATGATATCAATCAGCGCAGAGCTGCAACTAGTCATTTGCTTACTGTAGGTCATCGACTTCGTAGGCTTCAGTTTGCGCGAGAACATGCAAATGTTGTCTTCTTAGCGATAACCGCTATATCTGGAATGCGATACTCTCAATGCACAGAGCTAGTGGTGATTCAGAGTCTCAGGGACGTAGTTTGCCAGCTCACAGGTATATTACTGATATCCTAGAACCTTACGTTATATATTATGCATTTTTGTTAAACCGTGAAACAAAAACTGACACTTATAGTAGTAGGTTAAAATGCACAACCATGAAAAGGAGATTAATAATTTATGTTTAGGATCGCTGCCTGGGGATCGCCAGGGTACGTCTGGAGCCGGCGCTGGACGTGACAGGCAGCGCATGAAATGGACTGTCTATAAACGAAAAAATTTTGCGCTTCTATTACAAGGTGCCGAACCTCGGTTGAGAAACGAACGACTAACGACATCTGTATGCCGAATTTTGCAGGGAGTACCCAGAGATTCAAGTATATGAACAGCGAATAGCAGATCAAAAACGGGTAATAATAAGAAATAATCTTATTTCAGAGATTACACGGATACATCAGAAGCGAAGTCGAACTGGAGATTCATAACTAAGAATTAGTTGTGGATCAAGTGCCTAATGAAATCCCTAACGAGCAGATTCCTGAGCCTCTCATACAGAAAACTCAACCTGTTAATACGCAGCAGGACAACAACGAGTTGTACGATAGCTTGGTAAGCGATATGGCACTTTGCCGTACAAGATTTTAATGGGGCAAACCTACTTAGCAGATCACCGCTACCAAAAATAAACTCTTGTAAGAAACTAGGTCCAGGTGAGCTGTATTGTGTACGCCCATACATTAGAATATTTGCATATAGTAACTTACTGTGGGAATCGGAAGGACTGAAAACAGAATTGCACCCTGGGAAAAGGGCAAAGAAAGCTTTCTATAGGAAACTGAATTTCACTGTAGAAAATGAAAATAAATCCTACCCAAGCCAAGAAGAAATTCATGAGTTTTGGGGAAACTAACTTTAGACGCCAGCCACTCATAACAACAATGCTGGATGGATTAAAATTAAAGACACGACGAACGGTTACTGTCGACACGACGTCAACACTACAGGAAGATTCCTTATTTGCATCGTCGACATCGTCTCTCCCTACCTCGTTTTCTTTTAGTTGGCGGAGTCCATTCTTCTATTTTTTTTGGTCAACTATTTTCAGGCATTCTCTGAAGGTATTCATACCAGTTAAGTCTTTAAACCTAATAATTAAATTAATATTAAGACAGGATTAATATTTCTTAAATAAAGTTTTTCAAATTATAATGTGGATGCATAAATTTTTCCCATTTGTAGTCGTTCTGCCATATCGCTGTGGAACAAAATGGTCACCTGGTTGTTGAATTTTTGGAAACTTCATCATATTCCGAGAATGCTTAGTCCTATCCATCGAGCAAAAAGATAAAAGAGGGAATGTAAAGGTAGTGGGGGCAAACATATTGTTAGACAGGAAGTGCGATCTTTAGAGGCCACATTAAACAAGGAAAGAGAGTTTCTCTCCTTGTTTGACATCAAATTTAGTTGGGTTATGTTATTGTTTGTCCCAAATGTCACATGAAATCCTATTTATATTGAAGTTTTTTTAACAATTGTGTTGCATTTTAGACTCTTATTATTAATAATTAATTAAAACTTTCTCGTCTAAGACACATTCTGAAAAATATTATATAGCTTCTGTTAATAAGTGTCGGAAAATTTAAATTTGGCGCATTCGCATTTCCGGATATGTCCGCCATCAGAGGCCACTTTTTTGGTCTCCTTTTCATAAGGATTAGATTCCCTCTTTTGTCTTATTGCTCGATGGTCCTATCACAACCAATTTTTTTGTACGTTCACTAGAATGGTTTAAGGTGCATGTTTATAATTTTGAAGATTTTAGATCGATCGGAAGTTATGTTATCAAATTCAGAAAACCTTGCGTGGCCGTTATAAGTACAATAGGTACTCATCAGGGCTTTTATTTAGAAAAGTACAAACGTATTGCTTTTTAAATGTCATACTTAAGAATAATGAAGTGGTCTGTTGTTTTTTAACAGTTGATCAAAGATTTTTAAAATTATAAAAAAAACCAATACATACTTTTTGACTCCCTTGAAACTCCTTGCAAATGAGAAATGAGCAACTCCACTCCCACTCCCACGTAAAACTCGTGTGTGACGTCGAACCCACGAGCGGATGCGCATTAGCAAACCGTGTGTATCATGATCTATGTCGTAGGTTATGTACGAATCTTTAAACATGTTTATTTAGAACTCTCGTAAAAATGGTGTAATAGTGAATACAGGATAAAATTATGAGTAGTTTAGAATAAAGTCGCAATAGGACATACCTTTAACCTTTACAATACTATCAGTGGTTTTTCTAATAATTCAGAAATCATTCCAAAATGGAAATTCAGTACTTAACTAAGGACCATTTAATTGGATTCGATAATTACAAGGTAGGTCGTTTTTCTTACTTTTTTGCGTGCTACTTGATCTAAAGATAGATGTATTTGTTAGAGAATACCTTGTTTGTTTTAATTACTCTATCATTAAGAAACTATGTTTTACTAGTGGACTATATTATCCTTACTGCGATGTTTCACCGTCTGAACACTTTGTTTCCTCATAAATATACGATTTTACTTTAAAGATACTCTTTTATATGTACATAATGATCAATCAAAAACAAATGAATGTTTGTTTTATTTTAAAATTACCTAGGTACACCTTATAAATAAATACGTACCTACTACAGGGCGCGTAAACAAATCGAAATAAAAGGTGATAAAAGTGATCATTTCAATAAATGTTCAGTGAGTCATTTCATTCATAATCATAAATACCTAATTTTTTATTAATTGCGGTAATTATTTTATTAGCAAATTTTCAACAAAAGAAACCAGAAACTAACTTTGATTGATAAAAAACAGTTTTTCTTTTTTAAGCTCAGTTTTTATTTTCTTAATTTTTTCATATAGAATTTTAGTATTTGCTTCAAGTTTACTGTGATTCAGATTTAAAGGTGTTCTTTTTTAATCAGGATGCTCTTTTTCATATTTCTAGACACAATCATTATTATAATTTTTTTTAATTTTAAAATATCAACTCTAAATTGTCTATCAATGAAATATATCCAGTTTTATTAGAATATTATGCTAACATTGAGTTTTATTTCATCTTTTATATAAAAATTCAATAAAATACTACATATTTGTTCCTCTTACCATTTTAAAGGTCAGTTTCATGTTGCAAAAATTGTGCAAATTAAAATTAAAAGTAATTATTCTTATCAAATTATAAACATCTAATTTTAGAATTAGATGTTTAGTATAATTAGCAACATGCTTGGGCAATTTGAAAATTTCTCTCTTTTTTTAAGTAGTTTTGTAGTTTCAGTAACTGTACAGTAACAGTATGTACTTGGTATCACATATAACTCTTTTGTTCACTTTTCACAATTATATTTTATGTCTGTAAATGTAAAACCAAAAAATATTGTAGACAGAAAATATCCCCTATAGTTTTAACAGAGGAGTTTCTCACCCTTTTTATGGATTGGGTAGATCTCCTATTTCACTCTTTTGGCATTTTCTCTTGACTTCATAATCAGTGGTTGACCTCATATTATACTTCTGCTTAGCAAAGTCTCCATCTTGTTTGGATTCATACTACCTGGATACTTTTCAAAACTCTACAGACCTTTTCTTCTCTGTTTGTAGATTGTTATTTTTATTACAAAACCCTGCAACTATGCTCTGATATCATATTAAAGTTTCCAGTGATTACAATGTGTTATTGTAATAACATGTATAAAACAAAAGATTTCAACTTTACTTTTTAATTCATTAATTAAATAGTCAAGTTAAAATCTTTTGCCTTATTATCCCTTGTAATGACTAGAAACTTTAATATCTCTTGTCTTGTGTTACTCAGGTTAATTACCAGTTTTCTTAGTTTTCTTTTGTTTACTACTACTTTTTTCGTAATAACAGTTGTTGGTTCTGTAAAACTTTTCAAAATTAGATTTAGCTTGTCATTCATTCTCTTGTTTGCTCGATGATCTTGGAAGATCATCCAAGACTGTAAATAAACAATATTTTAACATTACTGGTGATCTTACAATTTAATAATAAAGTAAAAAGGACAGTGCATTCTTTTTGACACTACTATTTAAAAATGCCTAGCCACTTATAAAAGCATAAGGATAATCAGGGCCGGACTGGCTCAAAAAAACTTTAATTCGAATTTTTTTGAAATCCTAATGCATGTAAAGTAAATTAATATTATTTATAATTTTTTTGTTAAGTTTAATTTTATTTTAAATTCATAAACCTTAATATTAGCCCAGGTTAGAAGTTTGTCACTCTCCCTTATAGTGCTTTATACTCTTTGGACTCCCTGGGAAGTCCAAAAGTGTGAGTAATTTTAGAACTACTTTTACAAGAGAATCTACTCTTTTAAAATTTTTAAAAAAAAGTCATGTTGATTGGTGGTTTGTATAACACCATTGGACAGGGATGTGTCCTGTCACCTTTGCTGTTCAATGTTTACTCTGAGAAGATATTTCAGAAAGCTTTGGAAGGCACCTCGGATGGTATAATTATAAACGGGCAATGTATAAATAACCTGCGATATGCTGATGACACTGTCATACTGGCAGATAATGCTGAAGCCCTGCAACGCTTAATGGACCGAGTAATGACAGCCTGTAGAGAATTTGGAATGAAATTGAATACAAAGAAGACAAAAACGATGGTCATCAGCAAGCACCAAAACAGAAGGGTGAAGGTCAATGTCTACGGAACAGATCTGGAAAGAGTAACAGGAACAACGTACATGGAAGTAATCTTGATGAAACTTGGGACCACTTACTAGAGATAAGAATACGCCTGGAAAAGGCATATACAATGTTTTACAAAATGCAAAAAGTTCTATGCAACCGCCAGCTGGGTGTCTCATTGAGAACTAGAATACTTAAGTGCTATGTTTTCTCCACCTTGCTCTATGGTGTTGAAGCCTGGACAATGACAGAAGCAAGACAAAAAAGAATCCAAGCATTCGAACTCTGGTGTTACCGTAAAATGCTCAGAATATCCTACATGAGCCATACGACAAATGCGGAAGTCTTGCAGAGGATGAGTAAGGAAAGAGAGCTTATGCTTATAATAAAAGAACGGAAAACACAATATTTTGGTCACATCATAAGAAATCAAAAGTATGAACTGCTCCAACTTATAATCGAAGGCAAAGTCAATAGCAAAAGAAGACCAGGAAGCAGACGCAATTCTTGGCTTAAAAACCTACGGCAATGGATGAACATGACCTCCATAGAACTATTCAGGGCTGCTACAAATAAGAATAAATGGGCAAATGTAATGGCCAACATCCTTAAGGATAAGGCACCGTAAGAAGAAGATAACACCATTTCTAAATTCTCAATAATTTTAATTAACCACCTCTTCTCTCTGTGAATGTGTTCAACAAGTAGAAGTGACATCTTAGGTGGTAGACTGGTTTTCACCATCTATGCTTCTGGTTAACTACTGGGTGTTTGGTTCTCGGCTGGTAACCCTGTTAACAGGGGAGGGCCACTTGCCTGTGGTCCCTTTAAGGGTAAAGAAAGAGTAAAAAAATCATCTCTTTATTTTTTGACATTTTTTTCTATTTATTTTAGGCGTCATTCCTCCAAATAAAAAAACCTAACATTTACCAAATTCACTCATGAACATTTTTTATCTACTTTTGTTAAAAAAAAAAGGTTAAAAATGCCCAGTTTGCCCCATATGTTGCATAAAATGGTGGTAATGTCTCACCAACTTTTGTTCTTTGTAATCCGGAGTTGATGTCAGGATCATAGTTTTCACTTTTTTCACTGATCTTTTAATTTAGCGTGTAGAAGAGGAAGCCTTCGGAGGTGGAATATATATCTTTGTGGGAAAAATATAGTTTGTTCGCGTCTTGTCTATCTGTGGTGGATTTTTTACTGGTTCAGTGGGTTCATTTGGGACGAAACAGTCCTATCCTAACACCTAAGTGTAGTTTCGGCATAAACATTCCCGACTTGATTGTAATTTTTATTCCTTCTTCATTATTTGGTGCTGGAGAAAGTACACAGCCCTGGTGAACTCCTCTTTTTATTTACATTTCTGCTGTCATATGATTGTCTATTTTAATCGACACCATTTGCTCCCAATATAGGTTTTTAATAAGGGTCACCGTGTTATGGTCTATACCATGTTGTGTTAGGGTTTCTATGAGTTCTGTGTGTTTTACTCGATCAAATGCTTTTTCGTAGTGGATAAAACAGAGAAACACGTCTTTTCGTTGATCTCGGCATTTTCGTAGTAATATCTGGAGGCCAAATACGAAATCCAAATTGATTGTCATCGTCATCAGGCTAATTGTATATTTTAGACCAATTGTGGGATGAAATACTCTAATAAAACAATCAGCGAATATTATACTAATGGCGCCATAATCATACAAGTGGTTTTCGAGGGCGCCGTACGTCACATCTAAGCTATTGACACAAAACTCTGGTTGCTATTTTCTAGCTATGTGCGCTGGTCTTTGATTATCTGATACCTGATACCGAGTTTTAATTTGCAAAAACACCATACTCAATGGATCTTTGCAGAAATGAATCCATCAAACAATCAAACAGTGAATTCGGGTGCAAGTAAAAAAAAAATCAGGAAACGGTAGCTGCATAATATTTGAGTAAAGATTCTAAAAAATTTTTATGGATAGATGGTAACAAGGGCGCACCGGCATGCCGGTCCGGACCCGAGAATAATGCCAAATATTAGGTTAAAACTGAAACCGAAAAAATAGTAGACCTGTGAAAGAAAACGAAGTAAATGCCGATAAATGACACATAGTTTATCTAGAGAAAATCGAACCAAGTTTTTGACACAGCTGTTGGTTTTTAAAGTAAATTTTCTTGAATTTATTTTACGTTTTTTGTTTCTTTCATTCATTAATTAACTATGGTTTTATTTAGAACCAATATAATTAACTTATTGACACTAATTCCACTATAGTTGTGAAATATGTTTTGTTTCTGACATAAATAGATAAGTCGTTGAGAAAAAGAAACGACATCCTTTGTTTGTAAAATACACTCTGGTCGCTGTTATGGAGGCCGTGATATTATTGATTCAATTTAACCACGTTTTACGACTGTTTCTAGTATGCATCTTTGTACATTCTACGACATTTGGTATAACGTATTTACATAGAAGAAATTATTTGAAAATGACATTGATTAATAAAATATATTAAATTGCTTATGAGAAAGAATGTTAGATGAAATTCACTCTAATGAATGAAAAACAAAACCCAATTTTTTTTTATTATTATTATTGAGTTAATGCCTCGACAACTAAGATCATTGGCATGGTACAGTCAGGTACCTACTGTAGTGTGTGTTTGTATGTGTAGAGTAATTGTCTTG